AAAATCCACCGGTGACGTCATTGTTTACATTGCCGATTTGCCGAAGCGGTTTATATATATTCTCAGGCTTTCTTGTTGAACAAATGTGTACTATTGAAGCAAATAGAGTAAACAATGTAATTACAATTTTGTAGAACACAAAAACCATGTGAAAATACACAAACAAGCATTACATTGAGTAGGCTATATTTACTCAAAAGTACAGGGTGTCGAAATAAACTTTATTAATACTGTCACGTACCGAAGATGCATCTAATGATTCTAAAATTTCCTCACTAGTTTCGGGTTTAGTTTGGGTTTCTTGATCTCGATTACTGATTATTAATACAAAATCATTTGTTGAGAAAACAACGCGTATTTTTACCGGATTTTGAACTACGACGTCTTCTCGTTGATCACAATCGCCGCCTCTCTGCTTCGCGGTTACAGCTAGTTGTCTGATTCTTTTCAATTAGATTAACTTCTACTACTAATATTAAATCGCTCGCGAACTGAATCAACTTTCTGTAATAAGTCTAATAAATTACTATTCTTGTCGGCACAATTACGGCACACATTGTTAGACAAAACAACTGTCTAGATTCAATAAGTTTTTACATGCACTCGTTTTTGTTGATACATTGAATTGGGTCAGTTATTTCGTTTCCACACTCGGTGCAAACTGTTTCATTCGAGGACAAAGAAATATCAATTCTTGGGAATGTTTTTCTGTTTTTGTAGACCATTATCGGCGCGGTGAAGTAATTGTATGAAATGTACACACCCCTTTTATGTCAAAATTATTCGCGCCAAAATTTTTAATGCAATTTAAATTCCTGCAAGGGACACAAGTCGACCACTCGCGACTTCGTCGCTCGGGTCGCGTGTTCCCTCCCCCGCGCCCTCCCTCCCCCATGGTCGACTTGTGGCAAGTCTACCAAATGTACTGCGTTAGGAAAATGATGACTATTGCTATTAGAACTACATATTACATTTTCTGTTGCCGAAATAAGGAATGGGAAAATCCGGATTTACTAACAATTTGACTTATCTCATTGTATATATATATATATATTGCATGCACTTTGTTCTGTTATTTTAGTTTAGTATAATTGTGATTCAAATAGCCAACCGTAAGTTACCTTTATGAGAGAGATTTACGATTGTATATGTATGTAAAGAAAAACATTTAATAAAGTTTCCATTATTATTAATAAATTAAAAATATATTAAAATACGGTATTATTATAAATAAAAAATATAAAAAAAATAAAAAATAAAAAATAAAAAAATAAAAAATAAAAAATAAAAAATAAAAAAAAAAATTAAAAATATATTAAAAATAAATAAAAAATAATATACAATATAATAATAATAATAATAATAATAATATTATATATAATAATATATAATATATTTTAAATTAAAAATATATTAAAATATTATTATAAATATTATTATTATTATTATTAATATATTAATATATTATTATCATTATTATTATTATTCGAATTATTGAGACAGCTAGGTAAAAATTTTAACCAAGTTAAATTTATAAATCTCTCCATCAGCTCTTTAGGTATTTTTGCAGAAGAATGTTATACATTTTTAGACATGTTAGATAGTATTGGTCTTGACAAAAACCACCAAATGTACTGCGTTAGGAAAATGATGACTATTGCTATTAGAACTACATATTACATTTTTTGTTGCCGAAATAAGGAATGGGAAAATCCGGATTTACTAACAATTTGACTTATCTCAATGTATATATATATATATATATATATATATATTGCATGCACTTTGTTCTGTTATTTTAGTTTAGTATAATTGTGATTCAAATAGCCAACCGTAAGTTACCTTTATGAGAGAGATTTACGATTGTATATGTATGTAAAGAAAAACATTTAATAAAGTTTCCATTATTTAACACGCCCTTCATTACAGTCGGTCGTGGCGTTCTTCAAGCGATTGTCTCAGTCCACTTTTATTCAACATGTCATTCAATACTTTCATACAACATATTAAATCTGAAAAATACCGTCAGCTTGGATTTTGGAAATTAAGTGAAATTGGCATTCCGTGCAATCCTATACATTTGTTTCAGTTTGCAGACGATGCTGCTGTCATCAGTAGCCAAGAGAAAGAAAATCAAATGCTCCTTAATCGTTTTACAATCTGGTGTCAATGGGCTAATATGATTGTACGCGTTGACAAATGTTCAACATTTGGCATTAAAAACACTGAACTAAATCTATCCAGTATTTACCCAAGCTTTTCGTTAATAACCATCTTGTACCCAGAACCGAAATGGGCAAATCTTTCCGTTACTTAGGTCGCTATTTCGATTTCAATATGTCTGATGAGGAACACAAATCAGAAATACTCGACGTGTTTAATGACATCATGAATAAAATTAATGAACTACCCTTACACCCAAAAAATAAAATTCTACTATACAGTCGTTACTTGCTGTCAAAAATATCCTGGGACTTCACTGTTTCTGATATATCTAAAACCTGGATCTGCGAAACGTTAGACAGTATTGCGACAAAATATATCCGAAAATGGCTGGAACTTCCTGTCTCTGCAACTCTTAGCAACGTGTTGCTTCCACAAAATAATTTTTGTCTGAATATTATTCTCCCTTCGACAAAATTTATCAAATGTCAAACTGTCTCTCGATCAGCTTTAAAATACTCACCAAACGTAGATATTAACAATCTATG